CCTGTGGTACAAACCCTTTAGTACTGACTATGTTTCCATCTTTCGTATTTTCTGTTACTACCAAGCAGGAAAAGGCAGTGGGAACAGCTTTGGACTCAGCAGTTCTGGATTTCTGTGTGTCTTTCATGGGTGCCACGTGTTCCTTGCTTGGAGCAGGGGTGCTGGCATTACTGCACGTGGCATTATGGCCAAGGTGGTTCCTCTCACCATCCGTGCAGGGCTGGTTTAAAACAAGTTAAAACAAGCCCATCACGTCTGGTGGGAAGCCCTCTTCCGCATGCCTTTGTTTTCTTTTTGCGTCCTCTATTATTATTTAGCATTACAACTTGTTGGGAATGTGGGAGGTAGTGTTTCTGTTTACAGGCTGGTTAAATTGGTGTTCTTTTTCCAGCTGAGAAGCTAAAGTGCAGAACTTGGATGGTTTTGCCTGCATAACAGCAGCTCAGGCGGTGTGTTAACTGTTCAGCAGAGTAGCCTGGATAGTAAAACAGCATTGCTCTGTTCTTGCTGTGTAATGCATATGCTGCTTGGCTAAACAGATAGACTGTTGCTAAAAATAGCTTTCTGTACCCAAACTAGCTTCTGAGTGGGTTAGGCAATATAAGGTCATATATCTTCAAAGTTCTACATAGAAATGATTTCCATCCCCAAGATGGAACTGGCCTTTCTAGGCATTCCTAACTCAGTTGGATAATGGCTATTGCAAATTTGAAGAGCAATCCACTTGCCATGCAGGTTTGATAATAAAGGGTTTTTTTGTTGATTTTGTTATGGATTTAGAATCATTTACATTCTATGAGAAATTCTTACACAAGTGGTCAATTAAAGCGAAACAGCAATCCTTGCTTGTAAGTTGGAAATTAGAGTATACAAAAATTTAACTGTAATGTATGAAAAGAATTACTAAACTGTAAGATGTCAGGGAGTTAAAACAGGAATTTCTACATTGTACTTTCAGGAAGAGCTTTAGTGGGATTTGCAGCAGTTAAAAAGCAAAACAGATCTGTCTGGTTTGTTATAGTAATTATAGGTTTATGATGACATCCAACTAGACAAATGCATGGATTCACTTTCATGATATATTTGGATGTGAATAAATGGGCTGAGAAATAATCTAAATATTTCGAAAATATTGGTAGGGCAGAGTATTCACAGGTTGCACAGTATGAAGTAATGTGGTTGCTGTTAACAAATTCCCATCGTGGTTTCTGCAGGTCTGTGGTTGATGTCAGAACATTAGCTAACAGGCTGAGATGAATGAAGGGTTAAGCCTGCTGGTTGGTACTGGATGTACCAGTAAGGGAGTGAGCTGATCTGTGTTTCTCCACGCTGCAGCCATTGCTCCACAGGCTTGCACAATGCAGGAAGCCGTGTCTTCACAGTGGGGGAGAATAAAAAATTGCATTCAGGTAGAAAACACTACACTTAGAATCATAAAAATGAGGCTTGGGAGAGATCCACAGTATCATTCCATTTCCCTGCTGGTGTCCTACTGATTGATGCTTACACTGTGTTTCTTTATAGTGTTAGGATGAAAATGTTGCAAGCATCTTTGCATCCACAGAGTAATCCAAAGCAGTCCTGGTATTGCCATCGTCTTTTCCAGTGTTCTGTCTTGCAGCTTTTTTGACTTTATTCAATGCCAATTATTATTAAGGATGTGAAAAATGGTGCAAAGAGTCAACAGCTTACATTGCCTTAAGGAAAAGGTAAATTCTTTTGTGTCTGTAAATCAAGTCAAAATTTCTGTACCACTGTCAGTACCTTTCTGAATGCTGCAGCCAATAACCAAGTTAGTAAAAAATGATCATATGGATAAAGGCTATGCTGAAGTTCAGAGGAACCTTATGCCTCATTTCCTGCTACCTTGATATAATCTCTTTAATCTGTTGGTTTTTCTTCTTTCTTTTCAGGATTATGATGAAGCTTTTTGTCATTCTTTATACTTGCATCTACCAGATATTATCAGGGTTATCTTCTGTATCCTTACCAGCTGGTTCTGATAGTGATGCCAAGACAGTTCATTAAATATTACAATTTTGGGAATATTTTTGTGAAGAGAAGCATTAGAGAATTGGTTATTAGAATGCTGTATTTCTCTATAAGTGACAGTGGTTGTCTTATGTTTTAAATAGCATCCAGGACAGCTAGCTCCAGCACAGGACAGGTGTTTAGTTGTTACTGTCATGTCAGCTTTTAGCAGTGATAAGGACCCTTAGAAAACATTTGTCATGTTTGTATCTCCTCTCAATATTTTGGGGGGTGAAATTTTCTTAATTTCACTTAACTTTATGCACAAATTCGTCTTTTGACTATTTAATACAAAGCAACAAGGACCAAAAAGTGACTCGTGCATGAATGCTTGGATTCTGATTACAGCTAATCAGATCTAAGTGCATAGAAAGTGTGATAGAAAGGGTAATTTTGCCAACCAGGACAAGCAATGGTATCATCCTTCTCCGTATGTACTGAAGGAAGAAGTGTAGGAGGTGTACCTAGTGAGGCCAAAGTAAGATTTAATCTTTATGCTAATTTCTCTTCTGACTTGTATCAAAAACTTAGAGTATCTGCTGTGCATGAGTTTAGTTCAGCAATTTTCCACGCTAAAACTATTTTCAAAGCATTAGGTGTAGATAAGTTTAATCCTTAAACAGGTTGCACTTCAGAAATTTACTGTGTTTTACTTGGCAGTGGTGCAAAAAGTCAAGTGTTGCTCTTAAGAGCAATACATCTAATATTTATAGAGATTAACATAATGTGTTACAATACTGAGATACCTTCACAGCTGGAAGTTTGTCTACAAAAAGTAGTGATATTACCATTTCAGACAGAGCTTTAAATGAGGGATGTACATTGGTTCTGGGTAACTTGAATATTTGTGTTTATGCAACTCTAACTGAAATTAGAGTGTCTTTCTTGCGTAGCAAAGTGTGAGATGAAAGCTGTATGAGTCTGTTGTGATAATGTAATTTATAACAATTATTTGAAACCTGTTACCGAAAAACTCCCACATAACTACCAGTGACTGATTCTGTCTGATGAACTCTTTTTAGGGAGAGTGTTATATTTTCCTCTGTAGATCCAAAAAATGAGTCATCTTACAACCCAGTCATTTAATGCACATTAGATACCTGGTCAGCAGATAGCCTTTGTCTTTGGTTTACAATTTACTTGGTTTTGTCTTGTAAAAGTTTGGGGTTTTTTGATCTTCTGTACCTTTTATGTATGTTTCACTTGTGTGATTAAGTATAATAAAGCAAAATGCATTTCTGTTTAAAATTTGTTTTATTCAGAGCCCTCAAGTTGTGGAGTCAAACATGATAAAACCTTTAACTTTGGCCTTCTATTAAGTGACTCTAACCACAAACTTTTATGAAGCATGTATGTTATCTTTAGGCAAGAAGGAAAATGGTTTAATTTGAATGTATGTGGTGTAACATAGGGACTGTCCACTAGACTGGCCCAAGCCAGAAGTAATGGAACACTGCTGGTTCTGCTCTATTGCTGAAAAAACTTGGGAATTTGAGTTGTGTCCCTCTGCTTCGTACCCTTTGTGGCTCTCCTGCAGCCTGAAGGGAATGCTGGTCGTCATGGTAGTATGCCCTGAGCTGGGGTGGGGAAATGGTTTTGTGCTGAGTTTGTATGCAATCTGCATCACTATGCCATAATAGCTTTTTAAATCTCATTTCTCCCCTTCACCACCTGTGTTATTTATGGTTCTGCTATGTGGTGCTAATGCCAGCTGCTACAGTGCTAAAGTAGTAGTAGTAGAAGAAAAGTTTTCTGTCAGTATTGAGTTAGATGGAACTGTCAGTCAGGTTCGTGATGTTTTTACTTGCTTCCTTATGTTTATCTTCAACTGCAGCTATTCTTCTGTGCAGTTTAGTCTGGCCTCTATCAAGAGCAGAGCTAGCATATAAAATAAACATTCTCCTATTTTAAATAAGACCTTTAAAAGCATTGAGTCCTGGGAGATCATCATCCCGGTGTCATCACCAGGATACAGTGGCAGAAAGAAATGATTATGTGGAACATGACTTGTCAGTGCACAGCAACTCTAACAGAATTGTTTTCCTGCTGCAGTAGTATAGACAGTTAATAACTGTAGTAAATATGTGATTTCCTCAACATGGATTCTGTTTTAGGTAAGTAGGTAACTTGTTAGTTCTTAGAGGTTTCAGTGGCATCTGTTTGCTCACCTTGAAGGTGACCATTCTCACCAACAGGATATAAGTGTAAAACTGGTGTGAAATGGGAGCAAGATGATCTTGATATCTTGGTAACAGAACTATTGCTTCTGTAGAAGATTCTTTTGAATAAAAGTAGAAATAACAGTGTAAAACACAATTCTGTGTGTTGTAGAGGAGTTAGGGCTTTCTGTGTCATGAAATATTTTATCACCTTTAAATAGCATATTATGCTGTGGAGATGAAAGCCTTTGCCCAGCATTTTCATCATGAAATGTACTTACTGAGAGTGTGTGTGAGAAGGGCAAACTGAAGGTATTGCAGCATTTTGATAGTTGACATTTATTTATCTAGAAAGGCTGTTAGACCCTGCTTATGATACAGCTCTATGTAGCTAATTTTTCTTACAAAGTGATTTTTTTTTTTTTTTTTTTTTTTTGCAATGTTATGTCTAGAAGGTAGTACTACACTGCAGTCTGGACACAAAAACTACTGAATCTGATGTCTGTGAAGACTATCAGTCCGTCACAAATGGAGTCATCCTTGCATAAGGGCCTGGGGACCTTTGGGAGTTCAAATGCCAGATGTGTGAAACTGGAGTCAAATGTGATAAAGGTCTGAACAATAGGTTTGAGGTTTTTGACTACATAGCACCCGTAAACTGAGACTATGTGTAAGATGCTGTCGCTTAAGTGGAGTTGTCTAACCTTATTTCGAAGCTCATGGTTCTGGTTTATTCTTCACTGCTTAGGGAAGGATTGGGGCATGTTTTCAGCAATTTGCTGTCACTTAGGAATTGCTTTGTTTGATCAGGTCTTGAGATCCTGCATCTTGAAGACAGTAATCCAGTATTTGCTGCTTATGGTGGCCAACAGCTTCAGAAGAAAATCTTAGCTGGAAGAGAGGAGGGTATTGCTACCCAGTTCCAGGGTATGATCTATTATCTTTTACAATATATCTTAAATATGCTTTAAGACAAGATTAATGTAGTCTTTAAATACTGGTAGTTGATAACTTTGCTTTTGGACTGTGACATTTTGGGATTAAAAGTTCTTTGTGTGTCCAGACAATTTTAATTTCGTATCTTTTTTGATCAGTGTGCTCTTGAGAGGAAGAGGTGTATTTCTCCTAACTTTAGCTTTTGTGGCTTAGGGATGGCTTCTCTTTTGTATTTCTGGTCTATTTTTTCCATGTTTCATTCTTACTTGTAATCATGATGCGTTTTGGGTGGTTTTGTATCCGTTTCTGAACTAACTTTCTCAGAAAAAGCTAGTGAAGATGACTGAACATTAGCGTGCATAGGATTTCAGATGGATTTTTAAATTTTGATTCTTTAAAGACTTATGTGAAAAAAGGCAGAGTGCTTATTTTGAAAGGTCTAATCTTTTAGTGTGGGAAAATACAATTCATGCCCTGGAAAAGTGGAATCAGTATCCATCAGCAGTCTGTGGCATTTACTGCCTTAATTGAGGCTGGCTGCTGACAATGTTAAATATTATAGCAAAAAGTTTCAGTTTGGAAGACATGCGATTATCTTGTCTTCCTTAATAGTCCTTAACTTGCCCCAGATTCTTGCTCTAAGTCCAGCAAGTGATTATTTTCACAACAAGCTCGAAGTACAGCCTTCAGCACAAATTCTGGAGTCATGCATCTTGGTTTCAAGCCATGATGATTATTAAACGATCTTGGTTAGAGTTGTTTTCTCTTAGGTCCTCCTAGGGAACAGTTAATTAAAACCTTTAGCTTTTTCTCCCCTGTTTTCTTCTCCCAGTGGCTTGTATTTTGAAAGCTTTTGTGGTGACCTTGGACTGAGTTTGCAGATTATTGGCAGGGAGCGCAGAATGGCTGAGTTAGAGCTGTGGAGCAGCAACTGCTTCCTACAGGTTGCTGTAATTTCATACCAAGAGCTCTCTTCGCTGAAACTCATCAGTATGGCTGTATTTGTGGTTTTCTTTTGGGAGGGGTGGGCCAGGGGTGGTGTTCCCCCTTGTGCACTACCAAAAGCATTTAACTTGCTGTAATTTGTAGATAACTTGTATAAAAGGGTACGTTTAGAAGTAGCGTATATTAATTTGTACCTGCAGAAAGTATATTCTTCTGGTCTGTCCTCTTTGCACTCTGACTGATGTCCTTCTGCACTTTACAGGGAACATGGGATTACTAAATAACTTTAGACTAACCCTGTGACTGAGTCTTTGCTTTCTAAGTTTGAAGGGCTGTTGGTTCAGCTTTGACACTTGCAAAGGCTGTTTATTGCTAGTATGTTGTTAGATGGGCATGTTTACCTGATAGTTAATGGCAATTAACTCTCATTTGAAGTCCTGGGCTTCAGCAGTCAGGCACCTGAATTTGATTTTGAAAACTAGGACTACAGCAAGTACACCTAAAAAGGCTGCTAGTTTATCTTTTGCCTTCTCTTCTTATTACTTTCTGCTTGGCAGTTTTTGTTTTGTCTTCACTTTCTGCAGATCAAAATACTTTTGGAATTGGTAGCTTTGTAATTCCACTAACCATAAAACTAGTTAACACAGTATTCACATATTGTAACTAAAGCTGTAAGGCATGTAAAGAAAGTTCAAAAATAGCGGTGAGAAATGACTTTTAGAGATTCTTCTCTCTTCAGTGTCAGACTTTGATACAAGATGATGTTGTGTGCAGGGCTTAAGAAAGGTAGTTATATCTGTGCAAGCTCACTTGTCAAACTCTTTTAGTGTGAAAATAATTAAACTTTCAAAGCAGTAACTTACGATGACCATACTTAACATTGGGCATGTGGATTTGTGTAATCACAGTAACATACTTATTTAGATGAGGCCTAATGAGAGGTTTCATCCCTATTTTGTAAGGAAGTATCTGTGCTTTGATATATAGGAAGAAGGTTGATTGGGTCAGGTTATGGCAGAGCAAGGGAGTTTGAGCAGCATCAAGTCTGAGCCTTGTTTCAGCCCAGTTTCCTCTCTGTTGTAGGCTGATGCTGTATTAATGTCAGGCAATGTAGATCTAAAAGAAAAGGTAGGTAATGTAGAGGACTTCCCAAACGGGGATTGTGTTGTGATGTGCAGGAAGTAGAGAACAGAGTATTTGCTGCTCAGCTCTCCTTCAGGCCTGTCCAAAGTGGTGCTTGTAGCAAAGGGTGTTGTGAGCATCAGCCCTGTGGAAGGCAATGGAGAGTGTCTTTTGCATGCTGAGACAAACATCTCTCCATACTACTTGCTTCTGCCAGATGTCTTGCTGCTCTCCACCAAGCACACAGTTCAGGTTCCTGGCTATATCACAAGGAGTTTGGGGGGAGCAGATCTGGGTCAGACTGGCAAGAGTTTCCTTTGCAGACTTCTGCCTGGGAAACTCTAGGGTAAAAGATAGGCTAAAGAGTGATTTGCCAAGGTATGAATCACTATAGTGACTTCTTATTTTTAGTTCACTGTTGGATGCCTTAGATATCTCACCCTTACAAGAGAAAATCTTATTTGCTACTTGGGGAATGACGAGGTGGGGTTTTAATCCGTAATTGGAACATATGTACTCTTCAATTCATTAGCACTTCGTGAAATATGAAGTCGTCTTTTCTAAACTTTCGGCTGGTGCAGGTCACCCAGTCTTTCTCAAGAGCAGTTGTGAGCTGTGTGGCTTGTCCTCTGAGTAGGTCTGCCTGTGTACATTGCCTGAGTGGGACAGACGCAGATGTGGTTTGAGTAGGTGAGGAGGGAGGTACTGTGGGGCTCCTACAAAACAGGGCAGCAGCAAGCAGGTGGTGAGCCACCAGGCATGACTCACTCCCTGCTCCTGGCTCCAGAGTTTGCTGTGAAAGCAGGTGGGGGGGTGCAAGTTGTGGCCTGTACAAAATGTTTCTAGAAGGTAGACTCAGGAGTTTGGCCCATGATTTGAGGTTTACATACTGGAAAAAAAGAACAGTACTGAGCTTGGGGAGTGTGATTTCCGATGTGAACGTCAATTATGTAATTTGTTTGTTGTGTTAAAATTAACGCGGGTCTTCAGGCTGCTCAGTTCAGTTGATGTTTCTGCAGCATTAGAATTTGGAATGATGGATGATACTTCTTGTTGCCATCTGGAGAGTAGGTATAGGAGGATATGCAGAGAAATACGAGCATTAAACCAGGATGCAGTAGCCTTACTAGAGAGGAACTAGTTTGTTGCCAGAGGCTTTCAAAAGCAGTGCCGTAGGTGCTGTCTGTGTGATAAAGATAGCTGTCAGCTGCATGGAACATTTTTGCTTTTGGAAAAAAGACTAATTGGTTGCTAAAAATTCTTAGGTGTTAATACTTATTTAAATCTAGCCCAAGTCGATTCCTCTGAGCCAGCGGATGCTGTTAGATATTTTAAGAAATGCGGGGTTGGTACCTTCCTTGGGGAAGGCTGCTTGCTGTTGAATCAGTCCTGTTCTAATAACAAACTTTTTTCTAATTTTAGGATACTTGTGAAAGATGGTGGATCGCTTGGCAAACAGTGAGGCAAATACTAGAAGAATAAGTATAGTGGAAAACTGCTTTGGAGCAGCTGGTCAACCTCTGACTATTCCTGGTCGTGTTCTCATTGGAGAGGGAGTACTAACAAAGCTGTGTAGGAAGAAGCCCAAAGCAAGGCAGTTCTTTCTGTTCAATGACATCCTTGTTTATGGTAACATTGTCATCCAGAAGAAGAAATACAATAAGCAGCACATAATCCCACTGGAAAACGTCACTATTGATTCCATCCAGGATGAGGGAGACTTACGGAACGGGTGGCTCATCAAGACACCCACGAAGTCTTTTGCGGTTTACGCTGCCACTGCTACAGAGAAATCTGAGTGGATGAATCACATAAATAAGTGTGTTTCTGATTTGCTTTCCAAAAGTGGGAAGACTCCTAGCAATGAACATGCAGCTGTCTGGGTACCGGACTCGGAAGCCACGGTGTGCATGCGCTGCCAGAAAGCAAAATTTACGCCCGTCAACCGTCGTCATCACTGTCGCAAGTGTGGCTTTGTTGTGTGTGGGCCTTGCTCTGAAAAGAGGTTTCTTCTCCCGAGCCAGTCTTCCAAGCCAGTGAGAATCTGCGACTTCTGCTATGATCTTCTTTCTACCGGGGAGATGACTGCATGTCAGTCGGCTAGATCAGACTCCTACAGCCAGTCACCTAAGTCATCTTTAAACGATGTATCTGATGATGATGATGATGAAGACAGTAGTGATTAAGGACAAAACGTTTTTTTCCATTTGTTGCAAGTTGTTTCAAACCATATGGAGCTGCTTTTGGGGGAGTCTGTAGTGAGGTTCCTCAGAAAAATCCTGTTCTAGCCATAAAATATGCCTGAATATCTTCAATTGCAACGTGCCTCAATCTATGAATTCTCTAGACAATAGTTGTTTTTTTCTCTTCTGCAGGGATAGACTGGTGCAAATGTTATCAGAATATTTTCCAACCTCATATACTTGAGTTGTGTCTAGGTTAGGCTTTTGTGGAAGACCGGAGAATAAAATGTACTTTCTTAATTTAACAACCCATACTTTCTAATGTTTCATATTGATATGTTATGTGGAGGTTTTTTGGATATGGGAAGGAAAACTGTGAGCATGCATGGGATGGTGATGTTTTTGTTAATCCTGTAGACTGTGTTGTTTTTCTTGCCATGGTATATAATAAGTTGAAAGGTGATGTAATTTACAAACCTAAATGTCACAAAACTTGGATACTCTTGTTTTGCTCTTACTTATGACTTCCTATGCCAAGGAGTGCCTTGTATCAATTGTGCTGATTCAGGAAGAAACAAACCTATTTTATGTCGCCTAGTGCTGGTATCTGAGAGATTGTTGGTGCTATTGAAAATAACTGCTGTGTTCAAAGTGGAGCTTTGATAAGGTCATAACTGTACCTCGTGGTGGGTGATGGAGACCCAAATCACATGTCCTCACCTGTGCAGGCAGACCTGAAGGCTCTGCAGGTTCCCACAGGCTTCAGCAGGGTTCTCCTTGCAGAAGTTGTGTTGTGGGTCAGGATCTTGAGATGAGAAGCTTAGGGAGGCTCTTTGTGGGGATTTACACGTTTTCTTTTCAGAACAGTTACTAAGTTTCAAATTTGGCAAATGCATACTGGAATTTTAGTTGGGTGATACAGCATTTGGATGTGATAAGCCTGTATATTTTTGGAAATAATTCCCAAAAATGACACTAGATTTTTTTTCTTAAAACATTAGTGAGAAGATTGCGGTTTTTTCTCCCCAGGAATTTTATTGGCTCGTTTAAAAATAACCTCAAATTTTCAACAAAAAGTCTGCAAGTATCCTTATAAAACTGGCTTTCCTTTTTACACAGCTGACCTCAGGATAAATGTGAGATGCAAGTTATTTCATTCTAAATGTATACCCAGGACCAAGAAAGATGTATTTAAGGACTGTAATGGAATCATCAGTGCAGAAAATGTCTCTATCATAGTATTTGTTTTTATTTCTTGAGTACCGAAGCATCATGTTCCCATATAAATGTAAAAGTTAGACTTGTAAAGACACGTTAAACCCCCAAATATATGTTTCTGTATTTTTATACTGATAGCATCAATTTTGAAGCAGAAAGACCTCTTTGAAATAGTTGTATGAATATAGTAGCAACTGACTTTATACAAAAAAATGTTAAACTTTTGTATCTCTGAATGACAATTTCTGCACTGTTTGCCTTGGTTGGCAATAATTGGGTTAAGTATTTATTGAATAAACAATCAATGCTGCATGTTGCACTAGTCTCCCATTCTGTACGCTGAAAGTGTCAGTCATATTTTTTAATAAAAATTAGCAGAGCACTTCAAAGCTGTACCCCTCCATGAGATTTCTGGTGGCTAAAGATGCACTTAGCATCTTTAGAGAGGCACTCTACATTCATAGTTTGCAAGACATTGCTTCAGGTGAAAATTGCATTAATATTTCTATCTTAGACAATTTCTAAAAATAAGGCTTTATAAAAGCACTGAAGAGTATTTGTTCTACTTGGAAATAAATACACAAAAGGGAAAACACTTTCTGATGCAGACTTGGGACCAGGAAGATTCTGTAAAATTGCTAGATTGAAAGGCTGGCTGAAATATGCATACTTTTTTCTTGAAAGATGGGGGAATGGTGACCTGCAGCAGGGAAAAATGGGCTATTCTGAGAATGCACTTTGAGTTAATAGTGCTTACTTTTTGTACCTCTCAATATTTCTATTTCAGGAGTGGAGACTTGTCAGCTTCAGTTTTTCTAGAGAATCAAAGTACAAACCTCCCTTGTACAGACCTTCTAATGACTAACAATCGTTTTCTTCGTGATGCAATTGTTTCCTCTTTCTTAAGCTGTCAAATATTAACTTGTCTTGTTAACGAGTCCATCTCCTTGTTTACTTTCCCCTTTGTTTCCATACCTTATGCTTATCTTCAGCACCTTTTAGGGGTGAGAAAAGGGTTGCTGAGAGTTAGATCACATCCTGTATTTTTTGAGAATGTATTTGTACCCACTTCAGATATCTTTTTATCTGTGAATGAAACTTGCACTGTGCTGCACTGATCCCTGTAGCTGTAACCAAACCGATGAGTGTGTGTGGAATTTTTCATCTGAAATTGATGTATATGGTTAGAGCTTTTTTAAAAAGCATTAAAAAAAAGGTGTTTTATGGTAATACTCCTATTCCTCAGTAATACTTGTTTAAAACTTTACAAAATGGACTTAACATTGACTTCTCTTGTAGTTAAGAATTCCTGAAAGGGCTCATTTCGTACTTTGTAATTTTGTTCTGTCAAATTATTTTATTTACAAATATATGGTGTAGCTTCAAGCCTATGTGTTTAATTTTCTTTAACTGTGGGCCTTCGAAGGTGAGAGAAAAGAGGGCAGCTGGTTTTTATATTGACAAGTAAGTTAGCAGCAGGTTTATTCGCTGTCAGGAGAGATTAATAAGCTGGGAGCATGAGCACACGGGAGGAGTTTTAAGACTAATTTAGAACTAAATGTGGTTATGGACTTAGAAGCCACTTGCACGTTTAAGTAACGTTTTAAAACAAGGATGACCAAACGTGTTGCAAAGTTTGGCTTTTGTTGGACCAGTGACGGTTGAGCTACTGGAAGAGGCTGGAGGGCCAACCCTTCACGTCAGCAGGGTGCTGAGCAGCCCAGTTCCAGTGCTACAGGTCTTGACTGTCGGCCTTGTCAGACCACCGCTGGGTCAAAACTTCTTGTGGTACCAAACTGGAGAGTAACTTGGTACTTTTCTCAGAGCTTCTGCACTCTTTGGATGCTAAAAGATTAAGTATGGACAGTCTCTGCGTATTTTGTGTACTTTTTGTTTGTGGCAGATTTAACCTGCTCTTCTTCTATAAGCTTTCCAAATTCAATGGAATAAAAGCAGCAGCCTGTATGTCTCTCATGTAAGGCTCTGCAGTCAGCTTTTGCTTTGTAGAAGATTCTGTATTGGAGAAATAAGTACATGTTTGCTTTAGCTGAATTCACAGTTTGCACAGTGTTTACCAGTACTTCATAGTTCACTTGCTGGAAATATTAAAGGAAAGGAAATATTCTTTGTTTTAAAGGTTTTAATTGAAGTCTACTAATTTTAGCCTCTGCACCTAAACTGCCGTTAAGATAAATTAAGCTGTTTCCCTTTCAGATTTGATGCAGCTGAATTTGCTGTAGCCTTAATCTGAGGGTCAAGCACTGCTACTCAGTTGAAGAAAAGTTTAATAAAATGGGTGGGTGGATTAATGAGTCGTGAGTTTGCAGCAGGGGTTTTAAGGTCTCATCTCTAATAGGCAGATTATGAAAATGACTTGCAGAAACATTGTATTTCTGTGGGGCTTTCCCCCTGGGGGAGGATAGGCTGTAGCTGATGGCTTAATGCAAATGAAACAGCGGTTGTCGTAGTTCCCGGTTAATGTTTGAGTGGAAGCAGATTATGGATTGTATTGTTGTGATTTTTGTATTTTCCTGTAATCCCTGAACTGATAGAAGAATGCCTGGTTCTGTTAGCAGATACAGTCAGAAAAGACTCAGATGTCCCCCCTCTCCCCTCTGATAGCAAATTATTGTAGTAAATATTAGAAAGTCTTTTGGCTCTTAACTGCCTTTCATTTGATGAAATCTGAGCTACTTGTTTGTGCTGCAGCTGCTCTCTTGCCAGTGCTGGCTCCTGTGACTCATTGGGTCTCTCCTGGCACTCTCGCTGTGAAGAATCTCTGCTCTGTTCCCGTGCCGGGATAGAGTCTGGAGCTGCTGGGAAGCACAGCACAGTGACCATTGGTCTGCTGTGCAGTCATAGACAGCTCTGCTGTACTGCTTGTACCTGCAGGGTTTTTTTATTCAGTCAGGAATAAGAAATCTGAACATCAGTCTTCAGAATAGAGATTCATTGCATTCTAAATTTTTAATTATCTATGAAATACTACCATGTGCCCAGAGTCACAATCAAAATGCTTCAGCTGCACTCAGACACATTTAGGGTAAAAACTAACAATGTAAATCGGTTGAGTTGACAGTGAAATAATATGCTAAGGAGCAGAAGGCATTTCAGGGTCACTTAGTGCATCTAACTTGTTTAGCTTGTGTAAGTGGGAGAATCTGTGCACTGGGATGAAGTTTTACCTTTATAAAACTTGCAGTTACTAGTATTTTCTGCAAACATAAAAGGCTACGACATAACAGCAGCAGCAGCAAAAGCCAAGGTGATGCCAAGAGACCTGATTCCACATTCAACCTCCCTGCTACCCCCAGTCCTTTTCAGGGTCATTCTCAGTAACATAGAGGGTAACTGGATTAAATGGTAAGAACTCCTCTAAAAGAAACCTCCTTTACAAATCCTTTTACACAAGATGATACCCCCAGCCTAAATAGTGTTCAGGCAGAAAGCAGGAGCTCAGTTTATTCAGATATTCTGAGGCATAATGCTAATGAGTTGAAGGGCTTAAATCTTTCAACAGTCAGACCTTCAAGAGCATCTGTTGACCTTTCTTAGGTAGTTTTTTTTTCTCATGAAAAGTAGATGTGGTCAGCTCTTTTACAGGTGTGAGTGGCTCGCTATCAATGCATTTTAGCTTCTGACTAGACTTGCTATTTAGATTTTTCTCTCCAAAAGCTGTTGCCAGTATGCAAATTTAAACAGAGGCTGTGTTGTAGTAAGAGTTAGGGCTTTGCTGGCTACTTTATTTATAGAGCTTGGTGCTGCTGTTGAGCACTTCTATCCTGTGAGCTTGTATCAGGTTTGCATAACATCAGCAGTCTCTGAGCAGGGTATGTAGCAGTGAAGGAAGGGGATGTGCTTGGTCTGTTGAAATAGTCAGTTGCTTCTGGCATCTGTTTGCCTCACTCCAGGTCTGTTCTGTCTCCAGAATGGCAACTCCAAAATGAGCTGGGTTATCCACTTCTGTCTCTATAAATATATAGGTATAGCAATTTCCTTCCTTCCCCACCTGGCTTGCTTCATATTTGCTTTATCAGGGCATTGCCCTCAGACGTGAATAACTGAGGGCTAATCCTGCCTCTCTGGTGTGACACGGATGGTGTGAGTGCTGTTGTGATGTTACGGTGGGTTGTGGGATGTGTACACTCTCCTGGGAATAAGGAAGGCAACAGAGGTAACTGCTACGCTGAGAAAACAAGCACACTGGTAAATTAACATTGTATGTGAGGAAAGACCTGACCTCTCAGCCTATTGTGAGCATGCAAAGTGCTGGCACATACTGCCAGATGCAGAAGGAAAGGCAACCAGCCTTAGAGGGCCTGTACTCTGGAAGCTAAAGATACTGTTTAAAAAAAAAGTCTGTAAAAATATTACTCATTGGGTGCATCTGACCTGACAGTTATGTGTAATAACTTGGCATTTTGAATAGATGGGCTTAAAGGTTGGAAGGATCGACCTGGCTTTTAAAGAGGAGTGTTGTTTAGTGCTTTTAACAGCATTGAAACAATAGCATATGAGAGGAGGAGGGCATGAAAAAGTCTATTTTGAATACTACTCTCTTTGGCTTTTAGTGATGCATATAGTTTGTCTCACATGAGATCTCTGGAGGCAGAAGAAAGTTACCCTCTGTTGGGGTACTTGCTTCCTAGTGTTTATAATGCACATGATAAAAGGGTTTGTTACCTCCCTTAATGGAAGCTAAATGTGATAAGTCCAAAAAAAATGCATCGTTCTGTGAATTAAACCCATTTGATGTGTTGCAGGAGATACTTAGCATGATTCAAACATGCACAGGACAGTGTAGTTCTGCTCATACCTGAAACAAAGCAGTCCCACTGTGGTGTGTAGGGGAAGCTGGTGGCTTCAGGTTTACAGGTGATGACAGCAGGTCTTGAGCAGCACATGGGTACAGTGTGAACGTCGACCCTGTCACCCTTTTTCCAAGGGACAGGAACAATTTGGGAAGGAGAAACAGTTACTGCTGTTGCTGGTCAGCATGCAGAAACTAATGCTGAGAAGTGCAATGTGTGATCCTTAGTGGATGCAAACACTTGAGGCTCTTTAGGTGTACTTTTGGAGACGAGGAACTTCATGCTGTCCCAAAACTACACATGAGGAAGGAACCATGCCTCATCTGAAGCTCTGTGTGCCTGTTTTGCCCTGGAAGGGCCCAGCACTGTTGGCTGTTCTACAGCAGCTCTTGAAAATTGTGGGGAGCTCTTTCTTCCCAACTGTGCCTCTGCAGACCCCACCTGCGTGGGCTGGGTAGCTCAGAGGTGGTGAGGGAGTGTGGGGAGGATCACCTCAGGGTACAGAGGG